AGAGAATACGCTTGATGTCAGCGTATAATGCTTTGCCTGCCTATATCCTTTATCGTTTTTCTGTCCAGTTTCTACATTCAAGCAGAATATGGCGTACTGTTTGAGGTCCGGTATCTACAGGGGCATTTATCGCTATTGGCCTTATTGATAGAGTGCAGGTACGCGCGGAGGCCGATCTTGGCTATACGCATCTGCGTGATCACTGAGCTGATGGTGTCGGATAAAACTGCCTCTGTTGATTGAACCACGCAAGCTTTTGCCACCAGAGTGGTAAGTGGCAACAGTAGTCGTTATACTGCTGCCTAAAGGGCAGCAGTATTCCGAAAGTATTAAATATCTTAAGTTTCTAGGGTTTAGGAGGGGGAGAACAACAATAATAATTTTGTGAAGAAGCTTAGTTAACATGAGTCTCATAACGCGACAGTTACTATAGAGAGCGCGCTGTCGGCCCAACCCAACCAATCTACAAATTTTCATGAACGTCCGGCTATTTTTGCCGCAAATGTCAATAAAGGTTGTGTCTCTACGGAGGGATCTGATCTATTGTTTCCTCTGCCTGGACCGGACGTATCCTTCAGTTCCCAAAACACTGCACCTCCAGTGGGTGAATGCGGGCGGTAAATAGATAGTATGTGTGGCACAAGAAATTGTTTATCAGTAGATTATTTTCATTATATATACATTTTAAACAGGCGCGTATGCGTAGCCGAAAGGGATGAGCTCGTAATCACATGTCAGTGATATACACCCAGAAGTGGGCACATCGTGTCCGTTAGCAATTTGTCATGCTCTACCACACCATTGAACGATTTGTGGACTAGAGGGTGAGATTTTTTGTATCATATTTGTGCGACACATAGTTCCGATTTAAAATATTTAATTACGTCCTTGACCTATTGTACGAACGAACAAACAATGTGCATATTTACTGGCCACGTGTAGTGCAGTCACTGGAGGTTCCGTGTTTTGCAACATGGTGAGTTGTCCCTACCAAGCCCAGATTAATTCCAACACGGGTAGTGCGGTGGCTGTCGCGGAGGGTTTTCTCCCTGAAGACAAGCTGTCTGGGCTGTCTCCGACTCCTTCGAAGGGGTTTTCCCTGCCGCCACTTCTGCACCATTTCCATTGCTTGGTTACTGGAGGATGGACTGCGGCAACAGCTTTGGCGAGGACGGGAGAGAATTCTGACCCGATAAAACCAAGGGTTGACCATTTTGGCTGTTGCCATGCCCAAAATTGCTGACGGGTAAGGCACCGAACGAGAGCGCCAACTCAGGCCACAGCAAACCATGCGTGCTGCAAACTGGTTCTGTAGCATCTGTTTAAATACCAGAAAACTTCCTTTCGTCCGAGCAATATAATTGCTTTTTCCGGTTATCCTCAAGCCTAATAGCCGACGTTATGACAACCAGCACTTACACCAAGTTTGCCTGTTCTATCAACAGAGGCATACTTATCCGACAGTATTTTAGCGAACATCTTCGATTTCATAGTTAGAGAACAAAACTTCCTAGCACACCTCAACGGTAGGCAAATCCTGCAGTCAATATTAGTCAAGTATTCGTTCTCTTGTTGCCGGATGTTCCTTGAAGGGGATACTAACGGGGTCTCACCTGATCTGCCTTTAAGAATTGCAAGGTTGGTCAACGCGTCACGAGTGTCAGGGTGCTCGTGGCCAAGCGTTCTCTGCCTCGCCTCAAACACCTTCTCTTCCAGCTCCATGGCTTCTTGCCTGCGTCCCAGGCCTCCATAGCTAATTGCAAGGTTGGTCATCGCGTCAAGAGTGTCAGGGTGCTCGTGGCCAAGCGTTCTCTGCCTTGCCTCAAACACCTTCTCTTCCAGCTCCATGGCTTCTTTCCTGCGTCCCAGGTCTTTATAGATGATTGCAAGGTTGGCCATCGCCGTAAGAGTGTCAGGGTGCTCGTGGCCAAGCGTTCTTTGGCTTGCTTCAAATATCTTCTCCCGTAGTTCGAACGCGCTCAGGAGACGACCATTCTCTTCGAATACTTTTGCAAACCTTATCCCCATGTAAATCCGACCCGGCCCAGAGAATGCACTTATAAACGGCCTGTCCTTGCATAAAGAGACGCATGAGTCAATGTGAGGTACCAACGACCGTCGGAACTGATAGTCTGACACCTGATATCCATCAGTTATGGCAGCAGCTACAATTGAACTTGCCGCAGTCCAGTACTGCCTCTGCATTGAATCCGAGAGGCAGTCTCTAGCCCACACATGTACCAGCGGATGCATTGATATACGACGCCCCATTTCTTCAATCTTTATGAGCGAAAAGGATGCTAGGAGAGACGCTGCTTCTCGAAACACCATGGGATCCCATTGCGGTTGGTCTTTCGGTGAGCCTGTGCAATGTAGGTCGGTTATGTTGTTAGACTCCACTATTCCATTGTGAATATTTTTATGCGCCAGTTCAAAGATATCTTCGCGGATCCCCTCGTAATGCAAAAAGGAGAATATTCCTATTAGCTCAATGGCATGACTGGAGCATTTCTCTGGCTGCTTCTTGATCGCTTCAATGGAGATCTCCCACGTTGTGTAAACTGTGTGTTGGTATTCAGACTGTCCTTGGACTGAGCGATAACTTAGCAACTTTTCTCGATGGCGAGAATAGATGTCGCAGTACTCGTCAATGCGGCAGAGACCCTTTCGCACGTATGCGCAGGCTTGGACGATTGCGAGCGCAAGCCACCCCAGAATCTTCGCCACAGGCGCTGCTGCTTCCCGCGAGGCTCTATCATCAGTATCTTCCACTCCAGCTGCCCTCAAGAGGAGTGTAATGGCCTCCTCTACATCCATTCCGCCATACTCGCAGGAGCCTACCGTTGCGTGGATTTTGCACTCAGGATTGCGTGTAGTGACCAGTATGGTGCCTCTGTTGCCGGCCGGGAAAAATTCAGACACATCCATAGATGGATCATCGGCATTGTCCAGAATAAGAAGCCAAGGCTGCAAGCTATTCGAGAGCCATTGCTTTACCGCCCCGGTATCCTCACCAAGTCCCAATATTCGGGCAACTTCTAGTAACCCTTGATGAGCTGTGTCCCGGCTGCTTGCATCAATCCAAAAGATTCCCCAGAACCTATCAGCTTTTAACAGTTTTGTTCACGGCACGCGACAAGGACCCGGAATTTAGCAACGTACCTCTCTCGATATTCTTGAGCGAACTTCAGGCAAGTTTGAGTCTTGCCTGATCCTCCAAGCCCATATAAAATGAAACGCTTCTGCATTGTCGACCCGTTTGCTGTAGTTGGAGGCAAGCAACTGTCATGAAGGTCATCAAGAACATTATCACGCCCTGTGTATATTCCAGTTGGGTCATATGGTACACAGTAGTGTCTGTTTGAAGACATGATCCTGTCAGCATCTAATAGGATGTAAGCAAAATCCATTTGACGGGCTTATAGTTCTCTCTACGTACGGGAACTATCAGGGAGGCTAGTGTTTTCTTCCTTAATCAGCCTCCGTATCCTCTTAAACAGTTTCTTATACACCTCGTCATCGCGGTCTGTGAATTTACACATATCCAAGTGGTTTAAGTTCACTGGTATCTGCTCTTCTCCGTCGATTTCCAACAGCGCCGAATGTTTTTCTACAACCTAACACAACAGGAGGTAAGATACGGTACACCTAAGGAAGAGAGTGTTGTGCAGAAGCTTACCAAGGTTGACAACTTCCCTACAGGCTTAGTCTCATAGAAACTAAAGACCTCATACCTTGGGAGTTGGAAGCGAAAATCCGTGGTGAGTCGCATTAATTCACTGCTGTTCGTTTGCAATGCGTTGAGGAGACGGGGTGGAGGTCGATTCATAACTGTAGCTGCAAGAGTAGCCAGAAGCTTTCCGTATGCCGCTTTCTCACTCCCCCGATGAGGAGTGCCGAGAAATATTATCCCAATGGTAGACTTGCTGATGCTGCTGTACCTCTGCTCGATTCGTGCTTGAAACAGCGCCTAAATCTTTGTATTAGATCGCTCCCTCTTATTTTGGCCATACTGACCTGTTTTATCACGATTCCACCCAGCGAATGACCCACAAATACAATGGGTCTTAGCATTTCCTATAAATGTTAGCAGTCCATGAGTGCAAAGTACGTACGTCCACTCACATCCTTTTCCTCACGCTCATCAACCAAACTGCTGAGCAAGCTCTTGGCATGATCTATGATGTCCGATGTTGAATTGCTAAACGCTGCGTCAGCATTGTATCCAAAAGTCATCACCCGCGCGTTCGGCACGTCGCGCGGTAGGAAGTCCTTCAGCCAAAACGCATGCGTCTTATCATTCGTCCAGGTGTTTTTCGGGTCTCCATTAAGGCCGTGTACGGCGACAACGCTGCTAGGCGTCAGCATGCAGGCGTGTCTTTGTCTGCATAGAAGCAATCATAGGATACGTGGCCGCATACTCCACCTTCACCACTTCAGCCTGCCCTGCTCCATTGCAGGGATAAAGGACCTGCAATCCCATGATCACGGCCACTGAATTGACTAGGATCTCGAGTATCGTTTCCTTCTCTTTCGCAATCCAGTCATCTAGTGGGGGCGGCGCTTCTTTAGTGTTATATAGCTGGCTGCTGCAGCACCCACACCGAGGCTGAGCAGCCATGTGAGCCTTTGGGGTGGACCAAACGTAGACTCTCACGGGTTGCTAGGCGTAGTTTTTCCACTTGTTTTTTTGGCTCTTTCTAACTCCACAGTCACAAAGTTCGGTGGCAGGTTGCTTTGATATCCCCCTATCCATGGTGGCTGGCAAACGCGGGGAGAGATACTACTGTCACGTTATTGGGGAGGTAATTTTAGAATGTTGGGTGTGAGTGTATTGTTTGTTTTCGATTTCCATCTGCCCTGCCACCAAAAATACCCAAGTTACTTTCGGGTTGTATCCGATAAGCATATCATTTTAAGCGTGACCTCCGTGACGTGTTAGATAGGCGGGATGTGCAGCTAAAGCGGCGCACATTCATACTGTGGAATGTGGCTGCCAGGACGAAGGGTAGCAAAAGACCCCCGCCCACAGGGAGTTGAGGAAGGAAAAAAAAAAGATTATCAGAGTCATTAAATAGTTTCCGGCTGAATAACTCAATAATTTATCAACTACCCCTGTCGTGAGCCAATTGAGGCATCGTGTATCTAACACCTTCAAAAGGTCACACGTGAAGCCCGTGAGGGTGTGCGAGTACAACTGTTATTGAACGTCACAGCGGAACACAGATGAAAGGAGTGCGTTGATTCTCTAAGCAAGAAATACCGCCAAGGCACGCTATTTATGGAAGGCGCAGGCTGGACCCTGCACGTGATGCTGTTTCATGTTCAACACGATCAGGGTAGGCCTGATATGCGACACACCCCCTAGCGTTAAGTGATTAAGTTAACGCTGCTTAAAGATATTAGCGTATTACACGGTTACACCTACCTGTAAGTCTATTACTATCCTATATTATAGTCTTCTCTTTAAAATTCACCTCCCTTTTAATATTTATTAGATTTAGTATTAAATAAAAGTATTTAAACTTTGATTTTAATAAGGCTTTTATTAATTTATCTGCTAGTATTTAGTTAGTTTATAAGTATTCTACCAGAAACCTACCCTTCTTAAATTCTTACTTTAACTATATATTCTAAATATTAACGTGTTATAGCTTTATTATAACTCTTTGGTTTTCCTTAACTATAAGTTAAATTAATTAAAAATTATTATAGTATATCTTAAGAGGTTTAAGATTAAGAGAAATATTCCTGAGCAGTTAGTTTAGGGCATAACTTTTCTTGGCTGTTCTTTCTAGGCTTAAAATTTCTGCCTTAATTA